TTGGTCGCCTTAATTATCTACATAATTTTTTGGTAGATTTCAAAGTTCTTGCAAAAGGTGGTTTTATCTATGAAAATATTGAGTTTAAAATCAATCTTGCTGTTATCATATGTGATGCACCAGCTAGAGCATTTGTAAAGTGTATTAAAGGACACAATGGTTTTAACTGATGTGAGTGCTGTGTTTAGAAAAGAGAGTGGTGTGGCAAGATGATTCTCACATATACTTCACTTATTTTAAGCGCTGATTCAGATTTTTTGTCATCAAAAGCATTCTGAACATCTTAGTGGTGTGTTAAATTGAATTAAATTTTGGCATGGCGACAAAGTTTCCTTTAGACTTTATGCATCTAGTTTGCTTAGGGGTATGCGAAGACTCATTAGCTTATGGTTAAATTGCCCAAATGCTATAAATTGTCTCTGATTACAGTCAATACTTTATCTGGCGGATTGTTTCCAATACGTCATTACATTTTCAAGAAATTTTTCAAGAAAACCTAAGTCTTAATTAGATATTAAAAAATGGAAAGCAACTGAACTTTGACTATTTCTAGTATACACTAGACTATTTGTTCAATGGGAATGGTTTAGCCAAAAATCTGTTCAAAATTTTTAGATTTTTCAGTTGTAGTTCTAATTTCATAATGTTTTATTTTTTTTAAAAAATATATTAATTTTTCTTTTCAGCTGCTTATTTTGTGCAGTTTTATATGTGAACTTTATCGTAAGGATCAACTAGGGTACAATGTCCATTCATTAGCACATATTGGAAATAATACAGTTAAATTTTAAGTACATGATAGATGTCCCTCCTTCAAATACAAAACTTTTTCAGGTCAATTAAAAAAGCTTGTTCAAAGACAAAAGGGTTGCTAAAATACACGTACAAGAAGATAAACAGAAGTTTAATATTCCTTATTTGATGGTAATAATCAGTGCATTGAGACACTGTTTACAGTTTCAAAATTATCAAGGTTTAGAGTGCTTTGTTTCAGCTAATGAAAGTGATAATTGTTTTGAAATTACAAAAAAATATGGTTAAGGTAAAAAGGTTTTGAAAAGCAGACAAATCTTATGACAATTAGGTTATGTTTAAGGAATTTGCAACTTTTTAGCCGTTTTATGCATATATACATATATGTGTGCGTGTCTCTCTCTCTCTCTCTCTCTCTCTCTCTCTCTCTCTCTTTATATATATATAAATATATATAAAGAGAGAATATATATATATATATATATATATATATATATATATATATATATATATATATATATATATATATATATATATATATATATATATATATATATATATATATATATATATATATATATATATATATATATATATATATATATATATATATAAATAAAAGCAGAGCTTTGTTTAGAAAGCTCATTTGCAAATTTAGGGGCCCTTTTACAAATATAAGGATTTTTTTTATTTAGTATTTTTATTTAGATTTTTTTTTATCTATTGGAAAACTTTTTAAGAATTTTGAGGCCCTTATAACAGGTTTTTTTTTTTGAATGGAAAGGGGGACCTGTATGTAGTAGCCACGGCACCGTATATAAGGTATATAAAATATATATCAAATTATATACAATATAAATAAAAATATATATTTTATTAATAATTTTGTATAATTTGTTTATCAGTAACTAAAGGAATGTTATCAATCATATCATAAGCATGTGCTTATCTATTACAAGTACATTTTAAAACGTTGAAATAAACGTCGATTATAAATTTAAAGGTTGTGCTTTTCTACCTTCGATAGTGAAAAGAATATTTTTTATCTGATGAGTGTTGGCGGAAATCGTAAGAGTTTTATAACATATTAACAGTTAAATTTAATTTTTTTTACAGCTCATATTGAAACGAGATATTGTGTAAAGAGGTTTTCAAAGAAGTCGTTTTAACAACAATCGAAAAGCTTCCAATTCCCGAGATAACCGTGAAAGCATTCGATACATGATTAAAGAATTGTTTAAAAGTTTGCTTAATTTCGACAGTGTAATTTTAATTACTATTTTTTTGAAATAAACCAATCAATTTATATATAAATTTGCTTTTTCTGTAATTTTTAAACATTCAAACGTAGTTCTTCAAAATTTGCAATGGGTAAACCTCGTGGGACCTTCACGGGATACCCGGCGGGTATACCCATATGGGCCCCAGAAGAAAACCGCGGCCAAGATCCGGCGGGTTCCCGATGGGTTTCCCATATGGGTCCCATTTGCAAACCCAAATGGGTCCTTTACGGTTTTAAAGTACGGGATTTGACTGGGACCCATATAAGATACACGGCGGGCTAACCCATATGGGTCCCATATGGAAACCGCGGCCATGATCCGGCGGGATACCGTTGGTCTTTCCATACGGGACCCAGTTGACGACCCGTATGGGCTCCGTACGGTACCCGTATCTCAATGTTGGCTGGGTAGTGTGTTGATTTTAATTAGTTTTTGTTGATTATAAAACTATTGTAAACAATCAACTGAAAATAAAGTTTTAAATAAATAATAAATAAATAAAATTTATAATGTCTTATGTAGTATCAGCAATGATTGAGTACAACTTAATTTCTTCTGTTTCAAGATGCTCTGATAGTATGGTAACTATTTCATTTTGAATTTCCGAACTCGGTTGTTTTGGGTTTATTTAAAAGTTCATTTATTATTGGATCAAATTCTGCTAGGAGCTTAACTTCAGATTTGAAAATTGCCGTTATAAATCGAACCGATATGTTTATTATGCCCTCTAAATGACTGTCCACTGCAGGCTAAATGTAGAGTAATTTTCACAAGTCGCTTCAAAACTTCCCGCCAAAATTTATTACCTTTCTTAATTTCTTTCTCATTTGATTCATTCAAAGTCTTGTGATGTCATTGTTTATATATTATACAAGACGAACTAGGGCATTTCGAACAAAGGATGTTTATTAATTTTCTTAGAAAATTATATACCTATATACCTTTACGCCAAATTTTGAGATTGCTTTTATGATTTCTATCACTTAATAACCAGCAAACTTCACAACATGCAGCATTTAAATTTTTGGAATAGCACAACCAAGTATAATCACCGGTATAGTCAAACCTGACTTCGTCGTCGTGTTATAGTAACTGACAGAAAAACATATATTTTTGTTGTCTCTCGGAAAAAGTTCCTTTGGTCTACATGATCTATGTGCAACAATAAATTTCTTTATATTTGGATCAACTATATCATTTGGATAGTGCCGCCTATCAGTAGGATCTTCAAAGTTTACAAGTGCTGCAGAGTTAATTGGTTCATTTTCATTGCTTATAATGAGATCTAGCGAGTTCATCAGAGTTGATCAGACAAGTCGGATGCAACAGTATTGTCTTTAAAACTGTTAACTTGAGAATTTATATTTATTTGTAGTTCACTGGTTTCACTGTCACTCTCTCTGATATCCTTCTATTCACTTTCGAAATTAAGTACATTTGCAAAAGATTGTGTTTCTTCCTTTTTAGTCTGTGCCGGTAACAAAAATGAGTCAATCGTTTTCTATATATTTTTTCTTCCATCGTTTAGCTACTCCAATAAGAGGCTTGCTAGCCATCATTAGCAAAACTTTTTACTTTTAAATCTAAATTTTAAATATATAATTTAAAAAAATAGTAGGCCTATAATTAATTTTATCATTTGTATCATTAACGAATTTGTTTTTTGTTGTGTTACACAACTAAAAACAAACAAAAAAATTTTATAAACAACTTTCTGAAATTTTTATTCGAATTTTTAATCACATTCGAAAGTTTAACTAAATGTAAAAATTAAAAGCAATGATTGGCTAAAACCTGTTTTTTTAAAACTTTGAAAATTAAATATAACAAAAAAATAAAGGTTGTTCATAAATCAAACTTTATTAAAATATATAAAATTAAATTTCAATAATAAACAAACCAAAAAAGTTTTTCAGTGCATAACTTTTAATATAATCAAATGGAAATTGTTTTCAGACTTAAAAATGGGCCCCCTTTTCCCTAGGCCACTGTTGCGGGCCCTGCGGGCCTATAGTTTCACCACCTATAACTTCAGACATTACTTTTTCCAAAATCGAGTTGTAAATGCATGACACAATTTACCACCTGAAATAATAGAAGCTGCTTCAATAAACAACTTCAAAAATAAACAAGACAAAAAACGAATTTTGCTGAAACTATTTGTTAAAACATAAACAAAAAACAAACTGAGCTGTTACAGTGCAACATCTACTGTTTTTGCACTTTGCAACTGATTACACCAGTTGTGACAGCTATACCTTATTATTATTCTTAACTACATCTGCGAAATCAACAGATGTAGTTAAGATGTAGTAGTCTCTTTCTAATTATGTAACTTAATATAACTTTATTTTAACAAATTTTATGAAACTATTAAATTATAATGCATTATAGTAACCAAATGTAGTTAGATATATGACTTTTTTCAGATGTAATTACATTTGGAAAAATTTATTAAATATAAATGCATTATTTTAACCAGATATAGCCTCATACACGATTTTTTTCAGATGTAGTTACATCTGGAAAAAAATATTAAATTTAAATGCATTATTTCAAACAGATGTAGTTTCTTAAGGTAAAGTGGTGTATTATTGTCACATCTTTTGAAAATTTTTTTCTAACAATATCATTGGTAAAAACTTAGAAATATTGGATACCAAAAAAAATTTGGTATCCAATATTTCTAAGTGTTTACCAATGATATTGCTCCCATAAAACTGATAAAAATTTAATTTTTTTGTGTAATATTGTTGATAGATAATTTATTTTGTTGTTGTAGTACCACTGTCAATGTTACCCACTATCTGGGATAACTTTGACAGTAGAATGTTTTATGCTCTAAATGTTTAAAATACCTTATAAGGGTAAAATAATAATTGGAATTTCGGCAAATAAAATCGAGAAAACATTTTAAATATATACTAGCACAAACCTACTGTTTCTTTTTAAAAACTACTAATTTTAAAAACAATGTAAAATAGCGCTAAAAACATAACAAAAAATTGTTATTTAAAAGATATCAAAAAGATTCAGTTCTGATATTTTCTACTGGAACATATAAAAAAGTAAGTTATTTTTTTTTAGGTTTGTTTATTTTTGTTGATTCCATTTCATTTAATCTTGCACGAGATTCATCAGATGTCAGACATTCCGCCAATGTTCTTTTGATTCTTTTTCTTTTTTTTGTCGCTTTTCACAGGTTGCGTGTATCGAAGATGTTTCCAAAGTACCGCTTCTTGTTGTTTTCTTGGAGAAAGAACTTCCTGTATTTCATCTGAGCTTATGACTCGTATTGGTATGGAGCTTATATTATTCATGTCACTGATTGCCGGTAATCTTATTTTAATTTCCGTTATTACTTGCTCTAATAATTACACCCGATGTCAGAGGCTCTGCTGTTGGCAATTTATCACTGGTTATTTTACTTTTTTTTTGTGAAAAAATTCCATAAGTTTTAAAAGCTATAATAGTATTGCTTTGACTGAATGCCCCACTGACTGTAACCAATTTCACCAGTTGTGGAAAAGTTATTTTACCAAAATTATCGTGTTGAATCATAAAATATTTTCAAACAGTTCCTCCAAGATGCTTTGACTGTCTTAAAAACATCTACATCTAAAGGCTGTAAAATACTACTTGTATCGGCAGGTAAACAAAGTAGCTCAATGTTGTTTGCAATAGTTACGTCTTCAATAGTTTTTTATATGTGAGAGTTGTGTTTGTCAAATAATAAAAGCTTCGATCCATCTAATTGGTTTGTTTTGACGATAAATATTTTTTCAAACCATTCAATGAATTAGGGGGATCCTATCCAACCTGAAGAAGAACAGTTGTAAGGTGAATTGTCCGGACCGCCATTGCACCAGGTACTGTAAAGGTGAAGACCTTTATAAACAATATTGGGTGATAAAAATTGACCGGTTGCTGAACAGCATACCTGCACTGTGAACATTGTTTTTAGTTGAAGTACCGACCGTTTTATGTGGATTCTTTAATCTGCGTTTGCAAAGAATTTTCTGCTTGCCTATATTGATTTTAAATCCTGTTTCATCTACGCTAAATATATATTTTGTGGCTTATTCTGTAGATGAATTGCCCCAATAACAACTGCTAATTTTTTAAAATTCATCAACTACATTGCATGCATACGCGCGGTTAGCAGGAAGAGATTGTCCAATCCAAAGAATAAGTTCATTTTTCTCTTTCCTCAAAACCACCCATCCAATCAATTCCAGGCTTGCCATTCTTAAAGGTATTGACTCTACCACAACTGTTTATGTAATCTTGCACAATACTCGCAACATTGCAATGATCTATCGCAAAGCCCCAGTCTTCAAGTTTATGAATTGTATGAACAATCAACTTTTCTTAAATTTTTGGGCGTCCAACTTGTTTACAATACACTTTTTTGAAATGATTAATTTTTTTCTACTGATATTGCATATGAATGCCGCTTAGCTTATGCTGACATTGTTTTCACTGTTTTTTCTTCATGGCTTCCCGATCATACAATCCGTAGGTTGAACTTAGTTTTTTTTTTGTAGTTGTGAGGCATGATATCATGTGATCATAAACTCTAAAAAACAAATCAATCACTTATTTATTTACACTTAAAGCGTAATGATACTAATCATACATTTTGAGTAAACTTTAACAGACTTATGCGGTAACTTTGCCAATCCTGTTATTGCTACCCCAAAACTCAGATGCGCTTTTTAAACAAAAATACTAAAAAATCATTTTAAATGATTAACATTTATAACATCATAAAAGTAAATATTTAATCATAGTATTATTTTACTATAGCTATATTAAAAGTGCATTAATTACAATTTATAGTAGTTAAAAAAAATCCTTGTAAAAAATCTGGTTATACAGGTATAAATTTTTTTTTTTAAAGTTTCAAATTTCTATCCATCATAAAAGTGGTTTTGATAGCTAATCACAAAATTATATTTTAAAAAGTAATAGGGGAGGTATATGAAAGATCCAGTTTTGAAAAAAAAAATTTAAAAAAATTCATTTTGAATTAATTTTTTTTTAAATAGTTACTTTAATTGGTAAAATTATAAAATTTGATCAAATTGGATAACGATGCTAATGTTATGTCTTATTTGCATGCATTTATTTTTTTTAATTTTTTTTTTGTATGTATTTAGGTGCTCCCAGAAGTCCTTATGGTCTTATCATAAAGCACCGCGGGAGAGCATTTAATAGGAAGTTCACGCCTCCTTCCGTACCAATGTCGCTTGTTGGGCTGGAGCTGGCGTCGAACCTTGGACCTCTGGGTTCTGAGCCAGAACTCTAACCACTGCGCCACGGCTGCTCAAAGTTTATTTAAAAAGAAAAAGATAAATTCGCTCTTTCATAATATTATGTCAATGAAAGAGCTACTTTGTGCTATGACTTTTTTTTGAAAACTAACAAGTATTTTAAGAAAAATAATCTGTTAACTAGACTCTTCACTTGGTTTTACAAGGCTTACAAAATGTTCCATTGTTTTCACAAAATTATTTTCAGTCACCCATCCTGAGTTAAACCTAATGCTCCAAAAGGCCTATTATTCTACATATGATTCTTATAATTTACTCTATAAAAAATTTATACGCCATTAATAAAAAGCATTAGCATTATAAACATTAATAAAAAAAGAGTAGTCTTGAGCGCGCCTCCTTCTGCTGATGTAACCTGTTCTATTTGTTTTGAGCCTGCCGCAGCTATAATCTTTGGAGGAGCTGAAACAGTATTGCATCTTTTTTCATCCGTATTGAAAATCATGTGTGATGAAAATCTATACTTCTTGCATTTACAATTTTTTTGTGCGTGACAGGTATCCAGCGTTACCATACAAAAAGAAAAATACAGTTATCGTCGGATACAGGTAAGTTAGAAATAATCGCATCAGTTCTTTTAAAATGGCTCTTTCATACACACTCTCCCCTCATTAATATTTTGTGTACTTGTGTATAAATGAAGCAAAATATAGTTTTGAATATTGCAAAAGTATAAAATTTTGAATGCTGTCATTTAAGCATAATATGCAATTGATCCGCTAAAATATATTTTTACTTAGCTACAACTAAGTCCGTATACGTATAACTTGCTCGTCATACATTCACGTCACGTGATATAAATGTTGCATAACTTTGTAAAGTATATTCGTTAATTTTAACTTTTGGAGTTTTTTGTTATTCCGAGGCTCCATATTTGCAAGTTTTTTTTTTAAATATTGTTGTTTAATATAAGCATAATCATGTTTAAGTTCGACTTTGATGTCAGAAAGTTACCTATTTTAAATTACAAATTAAGCTACCCTTATCTCCGCAGGTAACTTTCAGACAAATGAAAACATAAAAAGTTTTATACATAAAAATTAATACTAATGATTTAAAAAGTATGTATGTATGTATGTATGTATGTATGTATGTATGTATGTATGTATGTATGTATGTATGTATGTATGTATGTATGTATGTATGTATGTAGTTGTATACGTACAATAATTTGTATAAATGTAATAATGATAAATTTATAACAAATGATAAAAAAAAATTTACTGAAAATAGATTAAAAATAAAAAATGTTTACTTTGATAAGCCTCCACTATTAAGCTTATGCAAGAGATAATCATAATTTTTTAGGTTTTGCGGGCTAACCAGGCTCTGCACCAAACTGTTTTACAAGCTAAACTACTTCTCCACTACCAAGATATTTTTAGGTTTATACCGAGAAGTTTGTCTTCTTCTCTCTCTAGGCTAAAGGAGCAGTTAAATAGATTTTTGATCTAGATATAAGGTTATTTTTTTTTCGTAAGCCATGTTATTTTATTCTGATGTCTATTTTAGAATGTATACCCATTGTTATTTGTAGTGTTTGCAATAAATTTGTAATACGCAAGAATAAACAGCTGTAAATAAATTGTAAGAACACGTAAATACATCAGAAAAAAACACTTTCAATTATTCAAAGCATTAAAATTTAATAATACAGTTATTACAACCTGTGTAATGTACTTAAAACACATATAATTTGGCTGCCGTAACTTGTGACAATTTGTGACGAATTGTAAAATATTTTCATAAGTGAATTGTATCATCTTGTAGTAATAATTTGTATAAATGTAATAAGTATATATTAATTGCAATTAATGTAAAAGTAACAACTAAATATTTAAAGAATAAAAATTTATTTTTTGTTCAAAACTCTAAATTTGATGAAATTACGTTTTCTAAAATATATCCAGTTAACCCACGTTGTTTACTTTTTCATAAAAGTTCAAGTTCCTATATACGCAGAAAAAAATTGTACGTATACAACTACATACATACATACATACATACATACATACATACATACATACATACATACATACATACATACATACATACATACATACATACATACATACATACATACATACATACATACAAATAAAAGTTCATAAGCACATGCATTTGTATACAATAAGAGGTTTATTAGATAAACCGCGCCGTTGATTTTAGTGGATTTAATAAAACAAGGATATCTTAGTTAAACCGTTTAAATAACGAAGCAGTTTAATAATCTCAAATAATCTCAGCATATTTTAGTTATGTTGGATAAAATCAATTATAAAATACAAAAGATAACATCCCCATTTAAAGAAACAATATTGTGTTATTAATTTTGAAGCAAAGTATTGCTCGATGTTTTTGCAAAGTAATTCTTAATGATATTTTTCAAATATTGCGTATTATTTTTGCGTATTAAGTTTTAAAATTAAATTTTAAATGTTGTATATTCAATATGAGTCAAATATGTCGAACAAAGTCTCCTACACGAATAGCATCACGAAAAGGACGCAGAAAAAGAGCAGAAAGTATTGAAGAAACTAATGAAGCAAAACAAGAAGAAAACTCGTTAACAACTCCATCTATATGTTATTTAAAACCTTCTAGCGCAGAATCAACTCAAAGAAGAGGAAGAACCGATAGTTGCAATGCCAAAACTCGTTCAACAAAACTTAAAGCAAGAAGCTTTGGTGAAACTGTTGACGAGGTGGAAAGTCAAAAGAAAAAAAATATATCAAATAATTTAAAAGACGATGAACTGTCGGAAGTTGGTACATTTGTTTCCGAGAATATATTAAAAAATGAGTTAGAAAACACAAAGTTGTTTTCTTTAAATAATAGTGACTTTCAAGAAAATCACTCAATATGTTCTCAGTCGAAAGAAAAAGTATATCATCCTAAAGATAATTTTTCTCAACCAATAGAAAAGCAAATACATAATAACACTCAGTCTAATGTTGAAGATTTAAACTGTCACGAAGATTTTTCTGCAGATTATTCCAAATCATCTTCAATTGTAAACAGGGAATCTGAATATAAAAAGTTATCAAATTTTACAGACAGGGTACAGAGGAAAACTGAGCAAGGGAAAACGAAACAAGAAGGAAAAGAGCAAAATGGAAAAGAACAAGATAAAAAAGAAAGAGAAAAAGGAAGTGTTGTTTATAACTTAAAACCAATCGCCCAAATTTCATCAAAAAGTCGCGTCTCTTTATACAAGCCAAAGTCCAAAACTAATAATGAAAAACTGAGAAACGTTCCCGAAATCATAATAGATCATCACGATTCAAATACAAGCTTGTCTGTGCTAAACAATATAAAAGAAAGTTTAACAGGATATAATAGCGTAAATGAAAGTTCTGCATCTAGCGAATTAAAAAAAAGTTCAACAGTATTAAACGATATACACAAAAGCTCAACAGCATGTGACAACATAAAAGAAAACTCAAAAATATGTCTTGATAACGGTTCAATAGAAATTGAAAACGATTTAAAAGAAATTGAAAACGGTTTAAAAGAAATTGATAACGGTTTAAAAGAAATTGATAACGGTTCGAAAGAAATTGGTAACGGTTTAAATGAAATAGATAACGGTTTTAAAGAAAGTTCGTCTATATGTAGCGAAATAAAAGAAAGTTCGACGTTATGTAATGACTTAAAAGAAAATTTAATATTATATAATGATTTAAAAATCACTAAATACGATAAGAACATTACAAATAAAACACCGAAGTCCTATGAACATGGAAAAATTGAAAACGGAATCGCAAATAATTGCACGTTAAGCAAACAAATAAACTCAAATGTTATTGGGCATGTTGTAAAAGAAATTACAAATGATCGTACATTAATTGAAGAAGACAATTTAGAAAGAAAAAAAGTCGCAACGGAAAATTGTCATACAACCGGGTTAATTAACAATAATGAACAAAAGTTGTCAAATAAATATCCGCTATCGAAAGAAGAAATATCAAACATATCTTTGTTATTGAATAAAAATGATTCAAAAGAATATACGAAAGAAAATATTTCAGACTTAAGTGAAAATAACTTCTCAGAAAATACAAATGGTCACAGTAATGTCACGAAACAAAAATTTTCAAATGAGCGTTCCATTGTTAAAGAAAATATTTCAACGTTTGTAAAGTTTACAAATCTTTCTGATGTCAACGATAGAAAAAACGTATCCACAAACAAATTAAACTTAAACACTGAAAGCAATAATTCTACTGACAGCGAATTGATTTCTTCTGAGAACAAAAACCCCGTTAAAAAAAAGTGGATTAGTCCTTATTTAAGATCAAGAGGAAGTTTGAAGAAATAGATTTTCGAATAAAATATGCGGGTATCTAATAAGTCACTGTTAATTGCATAATTAGGAGAATAAAAATGATTATAAAAAAAGGTTTTAACTTTGCATATTTCGGATAATTAAAATAATATGGAACACTGTTTGCAGAATCATAACAAAAAGTTAATTAAAAAGCACCGTGTTATATAAAAATATAAAATATATTAAAATGTATTTGCAATTAAACTATTTGTAACTAAACAATTTTATTTTTTTGTAATGCCATTTACGTTGCCAATTCAGTAATTAAGTAATTAACAATGTATTTAAATTAAAAGGTTGGCAGCTTTTAAATTCCGGGAAAAATTGCTTGCTTCATTTTTTTTTGTTGTTGCTGTTTTTTAAATTTTTTTTATCGATAAGGTTTGTGTAAATAACTTATATTCGATAAAAAATAAATTCATTAAAATACAGTTTAACAAAATTTAAGTTATATAAAGTTATTTTTAAGCGATTGATGCAATTTTAAGCTTGCGATTAAAGCAACAAACATCGCAAATACAAAGAACATTCTGAATTGCATTATATAAGAATTCATAAATGAATTGTTTTTGTCGGCAAAAGCTATTCTTTTATGAAATATTATGTCTAGCTTATATATCTGCTTAAATCACAGAAGATTTAAAAAATACTTATCATAAATAAACTACGGGAATAGAATAGTCGTAATATTTTTATTGATTGTTATTAAGACTGTGACGTAAAACGATCTATACTTCTTAATATAAATTATTATTTTTCTATATTACTATTGTCTATGAATGCTATGATTTATTTAATATATTTCATAATAGTCGTTATGCTTTTTAAAAATACTTTTTGTTTTGAGATTTGGTAAGAACACAATTAGAAAAAGACGCGCACAAACCAAGAAATATAATAGTTTTGTTTCAGTCCTTTCAAAAAAATATCATCTAGTAAACATTTTCTTAAACAAGTCTTGCATATTGAATAAAACATTTTCTTAAACAAGTCTTGCATATTGAATGACATACTAAAACTTTCATTTACATTATATTATATATATAAAGTTACGAGACATAAATTGTTCAATAATTGAAAATTATTGAACATATAAAATAAATTGAAAGTTATCAAAAATGCAATCAATACATGCCAAACAAAATTAAATATCTAAACTGGTATTTAAATATTTTCCACGTGCCTTTTTGCAAGCAACTCATCTTTTTTGCCTCGATTTAACGAGATTGTAGCAACTTTTGATCGGAACTTTTCTCCAAATTATATCTAGTTTTTGTATTAGGTTTATTAGCATTACTGCTATCACTGGCAGCATTAACATCAGGATCTGTATTATTTTTGATGGGTAAAGAGCAAGCCAATTGTCTGCAAAAAGCAAATATAAAATGTATGTTCCAGTCTAACAATGTTAGACATTGTTAGAGTTGTTTTCACTTTAGAATTACTTCAGACATTGTTTCTATTCATCAGTTCTATACTCTATTTAATGTCAAAAAGAATTTAAATTTATTTTAGTGTCAAATAACAATAGCATTCTTGTATTACCGTTTTAATTATAAATCAACAAAAAGTTAGGACACTTTGCTTGCAATGACGTCCTATAGAAAGAGTTCTTGCGGAAGAGCATCCAACTTTATGTTACACTTTTGAAAAGTACTATGAAAAGAACAAATAGGTTCAAGCATTAACTATCTGGATAAGTATGGTTCTTACGGAAGAAAAAATATTTTGCTGATTAATAATAGTTTGCTGTTCAAATAATATGTGAAAGGGTAGAACATGCAACACTTTGTTTGCAAAAGTAAAAAACATTTCTATGTTCTTTCCTTTAAATTTATCTATGATTTTTTTTTCCTTTTAAAAACTTTTATTAAAACCGCATTTATTTCTATATTTTCAAATAACCAAAAAAAAGCGTCCGCCAAAGTTTTGAAAAGTACAGCAAGATACACTTTTATTAGTATTGCATGTTATTAATTTCAAAATGCTTTAAAAAAGAAAACATGGGCAAGATGTGGAGTATAATCAGTAGTGCAGCGAAAATACGAAAGCTAAAACGACAAAAAAAAATGTGTTGCTAAAATTCCTAAATTAGCAAATTTTCTCAAAGCAAATGGAAAGAAATCGGATGACCAAAGTACGTCAAAAAGTGAAGAAGAAATAAGAGCAAAAAGTGAAGAAGAAACAAGAGCAAAAAGTGAAGATGAATCACAAGATTAAAAAATGAAGATAAATGATTCGAACCTGGATCTTAAAAGCTCACTCCATCTAGAGAACAAAGATTTTATTTTTGGCTTGAAACAAACACATCAGCTGTAAGATATTTTCTTATCACTGTGTTTACTTCCTCAGGTGACATCTTATTTCCTGCATTTTCTTCATTTATGAAGTATTCAAATAGAAGTTTTTTCAGCTTGATAATAAAACGAAAAGTCTTTCTTGTTGGCAATGCTCAATCTAAATTTTGGAACTTTTGAGAATATATATTGTTTTATGGGGTAGGCAAGATCTTCATTGATACGGTTATAGAATTAGAATTAACTTTCAAAGTTGCTTTCAAATTTCTAGAAAAAACCTTTTTTACTTTATCTAAATAAGAAGGTTGTTCAAATCTTTTGTGCTGTTCCAAGTGTTCCACTCGTGTTTGTGTGTTCCAACTACCACTCGTGTTCCAAGTAAACTACAAAGCCATGTAGTTTACTTGGAACACGAGTGGTAGTTGCTTATATTTAGAATTTTATGACTAGTTAAAGTAATACTCTCAATTTTTGCTACACTTACCATACCTTTTTTGACTCCATAACCATATTTCACTGGTCTTGCTACATTTCCTGCTGTTACTATGTCATTGCTAGCCTCTACGCCACGTCATAGTATTGTTTTTGTGGATGCACTTTCCCTATCACATTTGTCTTTTTCACAGCAAGGCTCATTAAAAGTGTACCTCAAAAGTTTAAAATTCTTATTTTTGCAGATCGCTTACATAAATTCAACTAATTAATTAGCATGATTTTAGTTAAAATTATCCAATTTTGCAAAAATATTTACTATTTCTTACTATCTAGGCGAAACTAATTTAGAACTGATTCAGCAGTAGAGATATTAGAGGAAACACTTTGATTCAGCAGTAGAGATATTAGAGGAAACACTTTGATTCAGCAGTAGAGATATTAGAGGAAACACTTTGATTAAAGCGATATAAAGTTGTTAGATAAACATACTTTTTGTGAATATTATAATTTTTTTTTTTTTTTGTAAAAAATCATTTATGTACATACTTATGTCTTTCCTCCTAGTAATACTTCTGACCTTCTCTAAATTTCACGGGTTTTTAGTGAATAGTCTTTAAGCCAAAATGCTGTTTTATCTAGTTGTTTATATGCATCACTCTTTGCATTTTTCTGTTGTGTTCTGTTTGACTTGTTGCATCACTGTTGTTATACATTTACACTAGTTTTTCAATTTTGTTTGGAATATCTGTTTAGGTATTTTAATTATCTATAAGCATTTTCAAAAACGATTGACCAGGTCGTTATTAGATTCTGGACAGTTTTTCTCAAGGTCTCTTCCATACTTTTATATTTCTTTCGCATTTGTTGGATTCACTGATAAGTTTAAGTTTTCTTTTAATTTTTTTTTTTAATTTTCTTTTAATTTAATTAGACTGGTCCCAAGACAAGCTGTAGTACCTTCTCTTATTTTATTTGAAGTATTAAAATATTGATTTTGTAAAAACTCATAAGACATAAAATCAATACATGTTGACAGATCCGGCGCGAGTAGGTGTCACATGGGGGGTGCCATTATCACTTTTGCCGACTTAAAAAAAAAAAAAAAAGAAAAAGGTTCTCGTTTTCGAAAATTTGCCGACTGCTATGACGACATTTGCCGACTAACTGTCTAAACTACCGACTACCCTATATCGAAAGGGTCGACATTTGCCGACTATCTAGTCGAAAAGGGTCAAATTTGACGACTAAGGGTAAAATTTGCCGACTAAAAATCATTGATGGGGGGATGTTACACCCCCCCCCCTTCGCGCCGGCCTTGCATGTAGATCTTGATGGAGATTCATGATAATTTTTTTTTTTTTGTCTTTTTGAACAGTGTTCCTTTCGATGACGATGGCATATAATTGAATTGATTAGAGAGTATGAATTATATTGGGAAGACAATTAAAGTGTCATAAAAATTGTTGCGGGTCGCCCTAATGTTGCTTTCTTCCCCGTTTATAATTTGTAATCAGAGTGCATTCATTTTTTTCCTTGTTTCCATCCTATTTCTAGTGTGTAATGTTAAAATTTTTGTTTATACGATTTTCAAATAGAGGTTTTCATTTCAATCAGCAGCTAACTCATAGTTCTTAAGACCTTAAAATAATTTCATTATTTTACAACCTTTATTTTGATTCAAAAGCTAGTTAATAAAAACTAATTATTAGGATTTACAAGTTTCAATTGCAAATCCATTTAGTTACGTTTAGTTAAAGGTCTATTTATTTATTTACGTTTAGTTAAAGGTTCACAATTATTTCATTTAAAGCATCAACATGCGCCGTGAGAAATATTTTTTGCAGACATTTAATAAAGATGTCTTTAAAAAAGTAAAAAAGTAAAAATTTATTTATTATGATAAAAAATAGTCGGAAAATCAGAGCAAAAATACTCAAAAAATATTCAAAAAATATGAGTAAAAATGAAACATACTGCATTCAAGAGCTTATACAAGAATATTCAAACTCATAGAAAACATTTATTTATAAGTTATTTTTTCTTAACTATTGCAATACCCCATAAGTATTTTTTATAAATAAGGTGGATAAAAGGTCAATATAAGTTTTTTAAAACTAAATTTTACGGTTAACCCAGGGCTTTAACCATTATCATGTCACAATCAATGCGTCAAAAAATTAGAATTTCGTTTTTGATTTGAATTTTGCGGATAAGCCTTTACTTCCCCATAGTTTTTTTATTATACCTTTAGATACTTTTAGATTTATAATAACAAAATAAAAAACTATGGGGTAATCACGGCTTTGAATGATAAAAAATGACAGAAAAATCATTTTTCGCGTATTTTGAAACATGATACTTAGACAAGGAAATAAAATTTCTTTACTTATTTTATTAATTTGTGGTCTGAGCAATAAACAATAATCAAGGGAAATACTAATTGTAAAGTATTTACGTTTTTTTTTTCTAGTTTAAAAATGCCTTCGGCACTATTTGTAAATATTTCGAAAAATTTAGTCAAACTTTGACTAATATATAGAAAACTAATACTTTAACTTATATCTATAAAACTAATAATTAATTTTTGAAAAAAATTTTGAATTGCGCTTTTGGTTTAAATAGCAACAACATGTTAAAAAAATTAGCACTTTTGAAAAGGGTCACCATAAAAAATTGGCATTTATGGTCGATTCTTACATAAAGTCGCACTGAAATATTTTTATTTTATATTAAAAAAAAAACAATTTTCTTGCATTTTGGCCGGAGATGCCTATTTTTTAGGGTATTCTTGCTCCCAAGCTAACTTATAATTATCAAGCGGCCGTGGCGCAGTGGTTTGAGCATTTGCTTTAGAAGCAAGAGATTCAGGGTTTGAAGTGAGCTCGGTAAGGAAGGAGACATAAACTTCCAAGTTAAATACTCTTCTGCGGTGCTCTGTGACAAGACAGTTAGGTCTTCTTTGGGCACCTAAAACAAAAAAAAAATTAACAAAATTAAAAATTAGCGCAAATTTTGGCAGACCATATTTATATGACCTACAAAGCTTTGATGTTTAGAACTTACCTTGAAGTTATTTAACTTATGCAGCCGTGGTGCTGTGGTAGTGTCTATTTAATTTATTTCCGTGGCGAAAATTTTGGTTTCTATTCGTATATTATAACAGTATTATAATATACGAATAGGCAACTCAATTTTATATTAGTATTAGCAAAACTATTAGATATTGCCTTATCTCTTCAAGACGTAACTGATGAGTTTTGATATTGATCTTCGGCATTGCTTAAGAATAATTGTAAAAATAATATCTCATATTTGCCATGAAACTTATTTATTTGTCAAAATTTACAGTAAATTTAAACTCACTTTTAATCAATAAAGGAATAAAATTTACGGGTGTTGTTGTTAAATTTGTAGGGTGTGGATTAATTATTTCGGGCGGACCTTTTAAACCAATCGGCGTGCGACTCAGAAATTAATTTATTAATTAAATTATTAATTTATTATTATTAAATTATTATTATTATTAACTTATTTATTAAAAATTTGTACGATTCGGGTAAAACCCCGTAATCTACCCTTGTAAAAGGGCAAATTTGTTTTTGATTGCTTAAATGGCATTTTATCCGGTGCCTCTAATAATGTGGAGACCTTGGCTGAGGTATGCTTGCCGAATCTAACTCTTCTGCATATATTTTAAAAAAATCATTGCAATATTTAAAAAAAAATTGAGATTTTTAATTGGTGATAGGTTACTTTATCGGATTTTTGACAATTAGTTTGATAGAATCTAAAAACAAATCTTTACCTTCGGTACATTTCTTTATATCCATCAATGGCAACAAAAATTGTAAAATCTGTATTTCGCAATAATCTTTTTCTGGGAAATATAGCGATTATAACAGGTGGTGGAACAGGAATTGGAAAATCGATTGCCAAAGAGCTGTCAGTTCTTGGTTGTAAAGTTGTTATTGCTTCAAGAAAGCTTGAAATATTGGAAGAATGCGCTCGTGTTTTAAACTCAGAGCTTTGCGAAGAACTAGTTTTTCCATTTTCATGTAACATAAGAAAAGAAGACGAGGTAGTATTTTGCTTAAAGCTTTTTTTTTTAACTTATAAAAATTTATAATAAATGAATTATACATATAGTGTATAAATAGTTTCATGACAATAATACAATTTTATGATAATAGATTAATTTCATTAAATTTTAATTAGAAAGTTTAGGACAATTTAGGACAAAATTAGGTAAAAAGTTGTTTGATTTTTGACCTTTACTTGGTCTTAGTGTACTTCATTTGTAGGCTTTAACTTTGTAATGATTTGAAAGTTAAAGCCTGCAAATGATGTGCACTTAGATCAAGTAAAGACCAATGATCAAGCAGCTTTTACCTAGTTCTGTCCAATTGAACACTAGTTTATCATGGCACAATAATTTAAGTAATTAAAATAATTACCCTTTTACATTATTATTACATAGTATAATATAGTATTCTAAATATATAATTTAGGATAAATTTTCAACTAATAACATTAGTTGAAAATTTTTGCAAAAATGCACTAATAACATTGCACAAAAGATGCACTAATGACATTAGTAATGTCATTATTGCATTTTTGTGCAATGTTATAAGTGCATTTTTGCAAAAAGAATTTCTTCATTAGTAATGAAAAAATTCTTCTTGCAAAAATGCTGTTGAAACTCTTTCAAAAGCAATCAATTTTTATTAAGTGAACAGTTTTTTTTATTAATAAAACTGTCAATAATAATTGTTTTAAATTACCCAAGTTTGATTTGACAACAAGTAGATTAATAGATTTCTTTTCACCTGACAAGAATATTTGATGTGGGTTACATTTGCCTTTATATGACAACCGCAATTGATTTATGGGATGGCGTAAATGTGGGCCATGTGACTATAATACTTATATTACTTAAGTGTTATAAATCAGGGGTGGATCCAGGATTTTTTGGTATTTGAGATAACTAACTTCCTAACATGGAACAAACTCCAAGCATTTATATGTTGGTAAAGCTTTAGTTAGTGGCCAAAATTTTAGACCTTTTTGTTGCCAGACTCCAATCACCGCAATTTTTTCTAAAGCATCCTTATTTGATATAAGTATGAACATATAAATGCTCCTTTTCAGGAAGTTAGCTCAAACACCAAAAAATAGTGGATCCGCTCCTGTAAATACCATAATGTTACACAACCCACATCTATGTTATCCCCATAAATCAAGGGTGGCCATTACATGTGGTGCACATCAATTTTTCTTGTAAATCAAATTATTCTAGATACATTTTTAAATTGTGGAAGACCTCGTACTATTATGGAAAAGGTAAGTAATAGTAATAACGCAAGTAATGGCAATAGTTTTGAATGGTAAATATTGCTAATAACACAAGTAATGACAAAAATAATTAAAATTTCTAGTTTATTGGTTATTAAAAGTAGTTTCAAGAATAAAAATAAGAGAACTTTGTGTTAGCTACAACTTCACTAGATATGAATAAGTTATCAGAGAAGACTACTTGTTTTAATTTTGATATTGATACTTTAAATTGATGCTGATAGGTAAAACTGTTTTCCAGGATAATATAGGCATATTTTGAGATTTAAGAGTAAGTGCTATTAATTTCTTTATAATTATAAATAAAAGTTAAAAAATGAATGATAAAGTTAAATAAAAGTTTTAAGTTATATAATATATTCTCTCTTGTTGTTGCGAGAAATATTGTTTTTTTTAAATATACACTAACTCAATGTTTGACTATAACTTGTCATTGAATAAGCCAATCTGACAGGAAACTGATGATGTTTCAGAACAAAAGATAAATTAGAATCTAACAGAGCCAACTGAACTTGAAGAACAAATATCCTTTTACTAACAGAAACACCTGTCAAAATCTCTTCATAAATATAATTATTTTGAAGAATAGAAGTAGAAGAGTCTTTGAGTACCATTGCATAACCCAACTTTGAGATCTAAATTTCTAAGTAAGATAATTAAGCAACCAGTTTTCAATTTTAAACAATAAGGAGGCATACCTAGAGGAGTTAAGTTGTTCAAAACTCAACAGGAAAATTGTTTCTCTCCCATCAGTCTCAATTTGATCAGCACTTTAATGAATTTTGAATTCTCCTCAGTAAACGTTCAAGCACTTGTTCATTGATTGACAATTAAACCACATTAGTGGGTTTTAAAATAACTTGTTTAACATAATCATCTTTTTCAGCATCTTTAAATATTTTATCAACAATTGATTTGTTTTCTCTAATAATGCACTGATGCCTTATTACAATACATCCTTTAAAAAAAATTTCCTCTTTGACAGGTATTGTTACACTCCCTAGTCTTGATTTCCATTGGGAAAATTCTCCTTCCCCATTATGTACTCTCATATCTTCAAGTAATGCCAATTTTTGCACATATTGTTAATGTAAAGAACATTTTATACATGGTTCTACCATTTCAGGTGGTTGTTCTTTTTTCACAACAGGCAGTATTTGCCTAATATTGTCACTAACAAAAATGACTTTCCCTCCAAATGAAAAATTGTTGCAAGCATTTTAAAACTGAAACTGAGTGACCTTCTCTAACTGCTTGACAATTTTCTTCATTTCCTACATCAGCCATGCAAGAAAAAATTGTATTTGTAGGTGAATTGTAGATGGTGCTCCACCTGCTTCTCAAAAAGTGTTCAATCATGTAAGCAAAAATCTTTGCCTCATTCTAAAATTTACTCCTGCCAAAAAGATAATAGATATATTGACAATATTTTAGGAAAATATTTTTATCTGGCCTAAGATTACTAAAACAGTGAAAAACATATTCTGAAACATGGTGGCCCATGATTCACAGTTAAACAATATTAGCTGTAAATGAAGCAAAGGAAAGACAGGCATTATAATTTCTAATTTATAAGAAATTATAATGCCTTTCCTTTCATAAGGAAACTTCTTAGCACCGCAATGCTGACAAATTTGATTCATTTCTTCTAAATAATTTCAGTCTGAAATAGTATGACTTCTTGCTACACATTCTTCCTCGTCTGCTTGTTGATTAGTTTCACCTTATTTGTTGATTAATTTCACCTTGATTGCTCTTCAACTCGCTTAGCAGCATTTCTTACATTTTGTTAATTCTATCTTGCCGGAACCTATTTCTATTATTTTAATAAAGATTATTTTCAACTTGTCTAGCCGCAATATCTTCATTTTGGTTTAAATTAACTTTATGTTGCATGGCAGCATTTCTTAAATTTTGTAGTACATTAATTTCAATCTGCCTTAGCTTATTCGACTATGATTCCTGATTTATCCTAAAGATATTAAAACAAACAATATTTAATATTATTTTTTTTTAATATATAAAATAATAGGCATTACCAGAGGTAATTGCTGCTATTCTGGACACCTAAAAAATAAAATTTATTAAAATTGTTAATAAAAAAATTGAGTAGAGTATTTTAAAAAAGTGTCACTGTTCTCAAATCTACAAAAATTAATAACTTACTGTGATCTGACTGTTTGATAAATTAAAATAGTGCTTCAAGCAATAAATACAAAACAAAAATAAACTTTGATTAAAACATTTTAACTGTTTTTTTATTTTATCTTTTTTTCTAGTAATCTTTTAAATCTTTTTACATAAATAAAATTGCTGTTGCAACTTTTACATAGTTAAAATAAAATTGCTACTGCATCTTTTACATAGTTAAAATAAAATTGCTATTGCAACAGTTATTTATTCAACCTAAATGGAAATTTTCAATGGAATTATTCAACCTGTGGAAATCAACTTAAAAATAATAAATAGCTAACTTGCTTAAATTACTTTCTAAAAAAACTTATATTCTTATTATTCCTTATAATTTTAAGCATTAAAAAAATGAAAAAAGAATAAAAAGAATTGAACTAACTAAAAATAGCTCTTCTGCTCTTCTAAATAGCTCTGGAAAATAAAACTTGTCTTGTTAGCAACTAAAAACTTTTTATTAATTTATGACTACTTGTACTTATCCCACAAATGATTTCTTTCAAAACACCACTGATGTTTAATAAAAATCAGTTTAGTTACTCTCATTCCAATATTTTTCAAACATTCCAATCTTTATACTTTTGTGCCATTGCGTTTAATATTGTGAAATTGAATTTAATGAAGTCATTTAATAAAGTCTTAAGTTCGTAATTCTCTTGAGACAAAAATAGTACTTTAAAATGTACCGTAATGTTAATAAGTATAAGTTGCTACAGTTTAATTTATAAAATTTTTAATGAACTTTAATCTATATCCTTTTAATGTTACAAAGTTTATATATAAACACATAGTTGCTAATAGTGTTTGCATTGCTTCAGTCTTGTATTAAACAACGACAATGGCTCCCATACCAAAGAAGGTTGGTAAATCTAATAAAAGTCTGGGAACTAATTTATCTATTGAAGCAGAAGAGACAGTATTCAGATCAGGAAAAAAAATATTTATTTGAATCAATACATATTTCAGCTATTGCTATAAACAAAAACATTGCAGTTAAAAAAAGCAGACATTCTTATTTAAATCATTGGATTGTTGGTTTTTCCTTAGAAAACTTTGAACTAGGAAAGCAACCATTAAGTATTGCAAAAATATCTTTTTGTTTGAAAATACGATCCTGGATAAGAGTGATTGAAAATCATCTAATTAGTGCTATCATCAGTGATGAACCCAGATTTTTTTGGGGTACTGTGTTTTATTGACCACAGGAGGGGAAGGGGACGTTCTTGTGTGAATCCCTCCCCCTTCCCTCCTTCAGTTAAAACAGTGCCTTAACTATGATTTTTAACTTCACTTTGTTTGTGTTCATCTTCTTTTTTTTTAATTATGCGAAGATCAGTAGCTGATTTAATTTACTATCTCATTGTAAAAGGCACATCTTTGAATACATCATCTATAATTGGACTTTCGTTATGCTAAAAAAAAACTATTTTATTTAATAATATAAATAAATTTCTAAGTTGACTAATTTTAAGTATTTTTTAAAAATTGTTTAAAAAATTTTAAACAATAAGTTTATTATAGTAATTTTAGATTTGC